ACCATGCCCGGCTAATTTTTTTTTTTTTTTTTGTATTTTTAGTAGAGATGGGGTTTCACGGTGTTAGTCAGGATGGTATTGATTTCCTGACCTCGTGATCCGCCCACCTCGGCCTCCCGAAGTGCTGGGATTACAGGCGTGAGCCCCCATGCCTGGCCTGGCCAATGTATTTTTTTTTTTTTTTTTTTTAGACGGAGTCTCGCTCTGTAGCCCAGGCTGGAGTGCAGTGGCCGGATCTCAGCTCACTGCAAGCTCCGCCTCCCGGGTTCACGCCATTCTCCGGCCTCAGCCTCCCGAGTAGCTGGGACTACAGGCGCCTGCCACCTCGCCCGGCTAGTTTTTTGTATTTCTTAGTAGAGACGGGGTTTCACCGTGTTAGCCAGGATGGTCTCGATCTCCTGACCTCGTGATCCGCCCGTCTCGGCCTCCCAAAGTGCTGGGATTACAGGCTTGAGCCACCGCGCCCGGCCTTCCAATGTATTTTTAAAACAGGAAGTACAGCTCTATGTTAACCCCAGATCTCCACTCCTTGTCCTCCCGACAGCCCTGAAGCCAGTGAATCTACATGCCACATACCAGAAGGGGCCCCTGATGGCAGCAGAGACCGCTCAGGACATCATGCTGCACTGGTGCTCCCACGACTGGCCCCTACGCTTGGCCCGTAAACCAGTGGCCTCCCTGCAGTCTGTGGCACGGGAGCTGAGGGGCCTGGCCAGGGGACCCCACATGGTGGTGGTGCTGGGCTTGGGTGCCCATTTTACCACCTTCCCTCCATCCATCTTTGTGCGATGACTGGCAGGGATCCAGGTGGCCATGGCAGCCCTGCTGGCCCGGGAAGCCGGCACGCTTCTGGGTCATCAAACTGGCCACCACCGGCTATAAGTCTGTGTGTGGCAGTGACTGGTTCACCCTCCTGGTGAACCAGCTCCTCCGAGCCGCCTTTGCTCGTCTCCCTGTGGCCTTTACAGGTGACTGGGAAATGACCTCCAGCCTGGCCCTGCCAGACAGCATCCACCCAGGCCTGCTCATTGTCCACAACAAGGTGGACTTGCTCCTTTCTTTCATCTGCCCCACCTGAGTGCATCTGGGGGTCCCAGGGCTGTGCTGATGGGGAAGCCAGTGTGACCATTAAGCCTGGAAGCCTTTTCACTCAGCTATTGGGACCTCTTTTCCTACCTCTGCCTCATGAAGTCCATAAGATCTACCAGCATGAATTGGGATGTGGGGCTGGGCGCCGTGGCTCACACCTGTAATCCCAGCACTTTGGGAGGCCGAGGTGGGAGGACTGCTTGAGTCTGGGAGTTCGAGACCAGCCTGGGCAACACAGCAGGACCCCTTTCTACAAAAAAATAAAATTAGCCCAGCATGGTAGCATGTGCCTGTGGTCCCAGCTACTTGGGAGGCTGAGGCAAGAGGATTGCTTGAGCCCAGGAGGTTGAGGCTGCAGTGAGCTATGATTGCACTGCTGCACTTCAGTGTGGGTGAACTCTCAAAAAAAAAAAAAAAAAAAAAAAAAGAATTGGGATATGGATGGTGGCAGGAAAGGTGAAGGGAGGGGGAAGCCTGATAGAGGTTTAGTTCCCACATGAAAAGCAGTGCTGAGATGAGGGTGGGGGACAGAGCCCACAGCTCTACACCAGCACATGTGACAACTGTCATTTTATGTTCGAGTCTCCATTTAGGGTATCAACAAGCCTTGCAAAGATATGAGATAGATGGCATTTCAGTTTATCAGAACCACCCTCTTGGAAAGGATGACTATGTGTGTGTGTGTGTGTGTGTGTATATATAGAGAGAGACTCTTAAGTGCTGATATGTAAAATGAAATATTTCTCCTAATTGTCAAAAGTAATATATGCTTCTTGTAGAAAATTTGAAAGGATACAAAAAAATTTAACAAAATAAAAATCACCTGGCTGGACATGGTGGCTCAAGCCTGTGTTCCCAGCATTTTGGGAAGCTGAGGCAGGTGAATCACTTGAGGTCAGGTGTTCAAGACCAGCCTGGCCAACATGGTAAAACCCCATCTCTACTAAAACTACAGAAAATTAGCTGGGTGTGGTGGCGTGTGCCTGTAATCCCAGCTACTCGGGAGGCTGAGGCAGGAGAATTGCTTGAGCCCGGGAGGCAGAGGTTGCAGTGAGCTGAGATCATGCCACTGCACACCAGCCTGGGTGACAGAGCAAGACTCTGTCTCAAAAAACAAACAAACAACAACAACAACAAAAACATGCTGAGGATTGTAGAACCATATATTGCATGAGGATACCCAAATCTGAAGTCAGTCTGAGGACAAGGACCTCAGCCTCCTGAAGCATGGGAGTACATGGATGTCCCAACCTATAGCTGGGACTACAGGCACGTGCCACCAAGCCCAGCTATGTATTTATTTATTTATTTTGAGAAAGCGGGGTCTTGCTCTGTTGCGCAGGCTGGAGTGCAGTGGCGCGATCTCCGCTCACTGCAACCTCCGCCTCCTGGGTTCAAATGATTCTCCTGTCTCAACCTCCCAAGTAGCTGGGATTACAGGCACCCGCCACCACGCCCAGCTAATATGTGTGTGTGTGTGTGTGTATTTTTAGTAGAGACATGGTTTCACCATGTTGGCCAGGCTGGTCCGGAACTCCTGACCTCAAGTGATCTGCTCACCTCAGCCTCCCAAAGTGCTGGGATTGCAGGCGTGAGTCACTGTGCCAGCCTTTTTTTTTTTTTAATTTTAGAAATAGGGTCTTGCTGTGTTGTCCAGACTGAAGTGGAGCGGTAAGATCACAACTCACTGTAGCCTGATCAAGTGAGCCTCCACCTCAGCTTCCTGAGTAGCTGAGACTACAGGCAGGCACCACCACATCTGGCTAATTTTTAAATTTTCTATAGAGATGAGGTCTCACTATGCTGCCTAGGCCGGTCTTGAACTCCTGGGCTTAAGTGATCCTCCCTCCTCAGCCTCCCAATGTGCTGGGATTATGGGCGTGAACCACCACATCCAGCCCTACCATGGGTCTTCTTGCCGCTCCAGTGAGTCAAGCTGTCTTGTCTCAGGGCTTTTATACCTGCTGTTCCTGAGCCTGGAATGACCTTCTCCCAGATCCACACATGGCTGGCTTTCTTCTCATTTGGTTTTCTGAACAAACATCATCTCCTCACGAAGACTTTTCCTGACACCCTAAATAAAAGAGTCCCCTCTCGGCCGGGCGCGGAGGCTCAAGCCTGTAATCCCAGCGCTTTGGAAGGCCGAGACGGGCGGATCACGAGGTCAGGAGATCAAGACCATCCTGGCTAACACGGTGAAACCCCATCTCTACTAAAAATACAAAAAATTAGCTGGGCGTGGTGGCAGGCGCCTGTAGTCCCAGCTACTCGGGAGGCTGAGGCAGGAGAATGGCGTAAACCCGGGAGGCGGAGCTTGCAGTGAGCTGAGATCCGGCCACTGCACTCCAGCCTGGGCGACAGAGCGAGACTCCGTTTCAAAAAAAAAAAAAGAATGTGATCTCCATGAGGGACAGGGAGTTTGTCCAGCTGGCTCTTGGTTGTATCCCATAACTTAGGCAGTGCCTGAGACACTGCAGGGGTTAAGTATCCACTGAATGAAGAATTAGTGAATAAAGGCAGGGGCAGGGCTAGGCTCTGTGGCTCACGCCTGTAATCCCAGCACTTTGGAAGGCCGACGAGGGTGGATTGCCTGAGGTCAGCAGTTTGAGACTAGCCTGGCCAACATAGTGAAACCCCGTCTCTACTAAAAATACAAAAAATTAGCCGGGCCTGGTGGTGGGTGTCTGTAATCCCAGCTACTCGGGACGCTGAGGCAGGAGAATCCCTTGAACCAGGGAGGCAGAAGTTGCAGTGAGCCGAGATTGCACCATTGCACTCCAGCCTGGGCAACAAGAGCAAAACTCTGTCTCAAAAAAGATGCAGAGAGCCCAAGAAGGTGGGATTTCTTGAGGTCAGGAGTTCAAGACCGGCCTGGGCAACACAGTGAGACCATTTCTGAAAAAAAATGAAAAAAAAATTAGCTGATGGTCAGGCGTGGTGGTTCACACCTATAACCTCAGCACTTTGGGAAGCTGAGGTGGGCGGATCACCTGAGGCCAGGAGTTTGAGACCAGCCTGGCCAACATGGTAAGACCCTCTCTCTATTAAACATATAAAAATTAGCTATACACGGTAGTGTGAGCCTGTAATCCCAGCTGCTGGGAAGGCTGAGGCACAAGAATCACTTGAACCCAGGAGGCGGAAGTTGCAGTGCAATCTGTAGTGCAATATTGCGCTATTGCACCGCAGCCTGTGGGGGCAGAGTGAAACTGTGTCTCAAAAAAAAAAAAAAAAAAATCCATCCTGGCTAACACGGTGAAACCTCGTCTCTATTAAAAATACAAAAAAATATGGCCGGGCCCAGTGGCTCAAGCATGTAATCCCAGCACTTTGGGAGGCCGAGGTGGGTGGATCACGAGGTCAGGAAATCAAGACCATCCTGGCTAACATGGTGAAACCCCATCTCTACTAAAAATACAAAAAATTAGCTGGGCGTGGTGGCAGGCGCCTGTAGTCCCAGCTACTCGGGAGGCTGAAGCAGGAGAATGGCGTGAACCCGGGAGGCGGGAGTGAGCCGAGATCTCAGAGTGAGCAGAGATCACACCACTGCACTCCAGCCTGGGCGACAGAGTGAGACTCCACCTCAAAAAAAAAAAAAAAGTAGCAGGGCATAGTGGCACTTGCCTGTAGTCCCAGCTACTTGGGAGTCTGAGGCAGAAGGATGGCTTGAGCTGGAGGCTGCAGTGAGCTATGATTGTACCACTGCACTCCAGCCTGTGTGACAAAAAAATATGAACAGATACGTTAAGTCAGGTGACTAAACAGTCATCTCTGTGCCCTGCACCTTCTCTCAGCAACCTCCATCCTATAAGAAAGGGGCAACTGGCCAAAGTATGCCCCTGCTGCACTTGCAGATTACCATGTTTGCACGATTATCACCGTCAATGCTTCACATTTACATTAGGGCACTATGATTTTCAATGCAGTTTCCATTTTTATTTTGGAGACCTCTCCCAGGAACCTTCCCCCATTTTACTGAGGCCCAGGGAGAATGCACAGGGAGCTGAGCTCGTCCTTTGATCTTAGTTTGGTGGCAGAGATAGGCAATGATACTGACGATGTGATGGCAGTGTCAGGTGCACTCTGTCCTCACTGGAAAACTAGCCTCCTGGAAGGGCTGGAAGCTCTCACCCTTGACTGCTCTTTGTCTCCAGCAACTCCTGGCAGTTAGGGCTTACAAGAGTCCAGTCCCTCTCTGGGCTGATCAGTGCGGGGCGGGCTCCTCTCTCCGACCACCGGCTCCTGCTCGCTGTTCCCTCCACCCTCCGTCTCGGTCTGCGCGGCTTCCCTGAGCACTCGAAAGGGGGGCCCGTGACCAGGTACGACCACGTCGGCAACGACCAGGACTCTCTTCCGGCTCCGCTCCTGGGCTGCGGGGTCTTCACTCAGCGCCTGCCACGAATCCTCGTCCCCATCTCGCTCAAACACATCTCCCGCCACCACTACGGTACCCAGAGCCGTGCCGGCCACCACCACGCTCACGTCGCGCTGGCCCCCGTGGCCCGGCGTGGCCCACACCTCAAGCCCCGGGCCCAGGCGCAGGGGCTGCCCCTCACCCAGCCCGTGGGGCAGGTAGCGGCCTCCGGGGAGGCAGAAGTCGTGTGAGACCAGCAGAGCCGCGCCTGGGAACAGCCCCAAGTTCCCGATGTGATCTGAGTGCCCATGGGTCCCCACAACCAGCGTCACGTCTCCCGGGGCCACGCCCTGCCCCGCCAGCGCCCTCAGCAGCGCCTCCCGAGCCCAGGGGCCCCCGGTGTCCACCAGGATGGGGCCACAGGCCGCCTCCTCCAGGGCGGCCTCTGCGCCGCCACTCCTGCACGGGGACTTTCGGTGGCTGGAGGCCGGGCCCCGGGTCTGGGGTAGGACCAGGGTTACGGAGCCGTCGGCGCGCACGGCGTCGCCCACCCCCTCGGGCTCCGCGTAGCCCTGCAGCAGAACCACCACGGAGTAGGGGTCGCCGGGCACCAGCAGAGGGGACGCCCCGCGCAATGGCTCGGTCCGCATGAGGCTGCTCCTGGCAGGGAGGGACGGGCTGGGAAGAAAGGAAATGGAGCAGTGGGCGACCGTCCTATCCCTCTGCGATCCCCCACCCGAGCCCGGCCCCGCCACTGCCCCTAAGCCTCGGTTCTCTGCCACCCGCCTCTCATTAAGTTGGTATCACCCTCCCTGCCCAAGATGGTATCGCCCAGCCTCCCCTCACACTTGGGCCCGCCCCTCCCTCGGCATCCTCGGCCCCCGCCCCGTTCCTGTAGCGGTACGTACGTCCTTGCCCGTCACCCTCCTAAGGCTATCCTTTGTATTCCCCTCTATCGAATCCTAGCCGCGCTCTACCTTGGGCCTCTGCTAAGTCTTGCCTCACTCGAGAAAAGCGCAGAAATCGAAAACGCGCGTGGGAGTTTGTCCTCTGCGAGTTCCCGTGCACCCAGATATGGCGGCCGAAACGGCGCCGCGGAGGTAGCTGTAGTTCCGGCGCCTTTACCGTCTGCCACAGGAGGCCGTTTGGACTCCAGCCTCCCGGCGGTTCTCCGCCTCGCGACCCCAGAAGCTTCCTTGGACTGCAGAATTATGAAGTGCCATTAGCTCTGAGGAAGGGTCATGCTCAGTTGTCCAGGCTGGAGTGCAGTGGCGCGATCAGACCTCACTGCAGCCTCGACCTCCTAGGCTTATGTGATCCTCCCGCCTCAGCCCCCCGAGTATTTGGACCACAGGCGCGCACCACCAGGCCTAGCTAAGATTTCTATTTTTTCTTTTTTTTTGTAGAGACAGGGTCTAGTTCTGTTGCCAGGACTGGTCTGGAACTCCTGGGCTCCAGCGATCCTCCAGGCTTGGTCTCCTAAAGTGCTAGGATTACAGGTGTGAGCCACCGCGCCTGATCTTTTTCTCTTTTGAGACAAAATCTCTCCCTGTCGCCCAGGCTAGAGTATAGGGACACCATCATAGCTCTCCTCAGCCTTGAACCCCTGGGTTCTAGCGATCCTCCTGCTTCGGCCTCCCGAAGTGCTGGGAATACAGGCGTGCACGCCCCTCTAAATTTTTTTTTTTTTTTTTTTTTTTTTTTTTGAGACGGAGTCTTACCCTGTCACCCAGGCTGGAGTGCAGTGGCACGATCTCAGCTCACCACAACCTCCACCTCCTGGGTTCAAGCGATTCTCCTGTCTCAGCCTCCCGAGTAACTGGGATTACAGGCGCCCACCACCATGCCCGGCCAATTTTTGTATTTTTAGTAGAGACGAGGTTTCTCTATTGTTGGCCAGGCTGCTCTCGAACTCCTAACCTCAGGTGATCCGCTTGCCTCGGCCTCCCAAAGTGCTGGGATTACAGGTGTGAATCACCTCGACCAGCCTCTAGGCTGGTCTTGGATCTTTTGGACTCAACTGATCCTCCCATCTCCACCTCTGTAGTAACTGGGACTACAGGCGCTGCACCACCAGCCTTGCAGTCTTCTTAATTTGTGTGTGTGTGTGTGTGTGTGTGTGTGTGTGTGTATAGAGGTGGGGTTTCACTATGTTGCTCAGCCTGCAGCTTCAGCTTAACAAGACAGCGGCCATTCTGCCTCATTGACCAGCTAGCTATGTGTGCCCTGCTGTTGTTTGAAACTTTGGGCCCAACTAGTTTTTAGAAAAAAAGAAAAAAGTTTAATAGCAATATAGAAAATTTAGCACCTATGAAACTATATGGTGGGCTCTCGGTGACACTGATCTGAAGTAGACCAAGTATCTACCCCACCGAATTTATCAGCAACTCCAGGCCATGACCCAGTGTCCCATTCTCCTTCACGGTTTGCTGGTGGTAGCCTTCTGGATGCAGGCAGTGTATATAGATCGCAGAGAATGTCCGTTCTGGCCTCTTCCTTGGAAGGGTCTAAAAGCACTTAAAGAGCTAAGTGACTTTCCCAAAGCCCACAGCTCCAGTGCCACTGCTGACCTCTAGGTGGGGGTGGGGATCAGTTAAAGAGGAAAGCTTTCAGTACTGTGAGCACATACACCTGCCAATTAAGGAGCTGGATGGAGTTCATCTGTAGAAGCAGGACCTCCACCCCCACCCTCCACCCTGCAAGCCATGCCATGCTGTTTCACCAGGATCTTGCTTGAGGTTAGATGGGAGAGAACAGCTACAAGCTTGGGTGGAGTCACTCACAAACACACCCTGAAAGCTGTGGAGCAGGGAGAGCGCAGACTTCAGAGGGCTCTCTATGATCCCTTCCCCTCTTGGGGGCTCAAAGGCAAGGGTCAAAGATCTTCTCGGTCAAGTTTGGGGTGGCCCCCTGTCTTGGTCATCTTGTCTCCTCCCTCCTCTTCCTCCTCCTCCTCCTGCTCTTCCTCCCCTTCTGTTTTCTCTTCCCCATCTGTGATCTCCTTTCCAGTCCAAGTTTCCTGTAGACATGCTAGATTGGATGACAGAAAACAATTCATATATTAGTCCTGGAAGCAGGGGAGGCTATGGCTTGGCAGGAGAGGAGTTCAGTCCCCACGCTTACCAGTTTCAGCAGCTGGGAGCACATGACCTTCACAGAGAAAATTTTGTAGGGGCTGCTCCTGATGGTGGAAGTACCAGTCTCCCACAACGTCTTCAAACTCCTCCAGCATGGTCTCACACTGGTCAAGTAGAAGGGCCAGAAGAGTATCTGCTCTGGAGGAATTTGAGATCCCTCCTGTCTTCTCTCCCTCCTCAACCTGACTGATTTTGGAGAGGCAGGTAGCCAGGAAGCTAAGCTTGGTCTACTAGATGTGCGATCCTCATTCATTCAACAAACATTTACCAGCACCTACTCTGCCAAGTAGGTTATTAAACTCTTGAGTTTTAGCTCCTTGGCTGTAAAATATGTACGGTAATTGCACCTACCACATCAGGTTGTTGAGGGTAAAATGAGGCTGCAGATGCAAAGTATGTGATCTAGAGTCTGGGACACAGTAGGTGCTTGATAAGTGATGGTGGATATCATTAGCAACCTTTTTTTTTTTTTTTGAGATGGAGTCTTGCTCTGTCGTCCAGGCTGGACTGCAGTGGTGGGATCTCAGCTCACTGCAACCTCCACCTCCCAGGTTCAAGTGATTCTCCTGCCTCAGCCTCCGGAGTAGCTGGCACTACAGATGCACGCCACCACGCCCGGCTGATTTTTGTATTTTCAGTAGAGATGGGGTTTCACTACGTTGGCCCAGATGGTCTTCAACCCCTGATGTTGTGATCCGCCTGCCTCGGCCTCCCAAAGTGCTGGAATTACGTATGTAAGCCATCGCACGCGGCCCATTATTACTTTTTAAAAATTTTCCTTAAGGCAGGGCCCAATGGCTCACGCCTGTAATCCCAGCACTTTGGGAGGCCAAGGCAGGCGAATCACCAGAGATCAGGAGTTCGAGACCAGCCTGGCCAACATGATGAAACCTCGTCTCTACTAAAATTACAAAAAATTAGCCGCGTATAGTGGCAGGCGCCTGTAATCCCAGCTACTCAGGAGGCTGAAGCAGGAAAATTGCTTGAACCCGGGAGGCGGAAGTTGCGGTGAGCTGAGATGGTGCCATTGCACTCCAGCCTGGGCAATAAGAGCGAAACTCCGTCTCGGAAAAAAAAAAATTCTTTAAAATTATTATTATTTGTAGTGAAGGGTCTGTTATGTTGCACAAGCTGGTCTTGAACTCTGACCTGAAGCATTCCTTCTCCCTTGGACTCGCAAAGTGCTAGCATTACAGTTGTGAGCCACTTCACCCAGCTCATTATGATTTCTTCTTTTGTTTGTTTGTTTGTTTGTTTTGAGATGGAGTCTTGCTCCATCGCCCAGGCTGGAGTGCAATGGTGTGATCTCGGCTCACTGCAACCTCCACCTCCTGGGTTCAAGTAATTCTCCTGCCTCAGCCTCCCGAGTAGCTGGGATCACACCACCACATCCGGCTAATTTTTGTGTTTTTATTAAAAACGGGGTTTCACCACATTGGCCAGGCTGGTCTTGAACTTCTGACATCAGGTGATCCACCTGCCTCAGCCTCCTAAATTGCTGGGATTACAGGTGTGAGCTGAGCCACCGTGCCCCACTGGTCCTGGCCCTACTTTAATCAATGGCACAGTCCTCACTCTGCCCCATTCCCCATGCTTGGGGTAGACGCCCCCTACAGTCGAACCCTAGAACCTAGCTCCCCTCTCAGGTTCCCTTCTCACCTCCCTGGATGGTGCAGTATCTGATCCTACCTGCTTCTTGAGGTATGTGACCTCCACGCTGGGCTCATCCCACAGCTCCAGAGGGATCCCCAGATCCACCTTCACCCCCTTCTGCACTAGGCCTTTCAGTGTTGCCATGGTCTGACTCTGACCCTGAGAGATTAAGAATTTGGCATCAGCCCAGCCCACCACCCCACCCCTCCCCTCCCTTCCCCTTTCTGCCATTTCAGTTTTGTCAACTGCTGGAGATTCACAGGTGAGTCCCATGATGGTGAAATGATGGGCAGATAACCTCTGGAGGACCTCAGGGGATACAGATCTTTGTTTCTGAGAAGTGGGGTCCTGCCCTGGGGAAGGGTCTGACCTTGGCATATCTCAGTGAGCCCTTGCGCTCAGCGTGAACACTGTAGTCCAGGATCCGCTCACATAAATTCTCTAAGGCCTCTTCCAGCCTTGTCTCTCTGTGGAAAGAGAGGAAACACAGATTCCCTGGATGCTGTAGGAACTCCCAGAGTTCCCTTGGGGGTTGGAAAGGGGAGGAGCATGAAGGACTCACGAAATGCTGTAAGGCACGTGTCTCTTCCTCTTGCCTGTGTCTAGCACCTGCCCCAGCTCCAGCACCTCTCGAGATCGACCGGTGCGACTCAGCTCCCCCTGTAGCTCTGTGCTCAGCAGCTTACACACTGGTGGGGAGGAGAAATGTCCAGGGGAGGTGAAAGACAGACAAACACACCAGTCATTCATTCTGCAGATGACCTGAGGCAGCAGAGCATACAAGTGCAGACTCTGGAGCCAGACTGGCTGGGTTGGAATCCTGGCTCAGCCATTTAGCAGCTGTGTGGCAATCTTCCTGCTTGCTGTGCCTCGGTTTCTTCATCTTTAAAATGGGATAATAGGCCAGGAGCGGTGGCTCACACCTGTAATCCCAGCACTTTGGAAGGCTGAGATGGGCGGATCACTTGAGGAGTTCGAGACCAGCCTGGCCAACATGGTGAAACGCCATCTCTACTAAAACTACAAAAACTAGCCAGGTGTGGTGGTGCACACCTGTAATAGCTAGTCGGGAGGTTGAGGCAGGAGAATCACTTGAATCCAGGAGGTGGAGGTTGCAGTGAGCTGAGATCTCACCACTGCACTCCAGCTCAGGCAACAAAGGAAGACTCCATCTCAAAAAAAGTAAAATATATTAAAAAGAAATAGGCCAGTGCGGTGACTCATGCCTGTAATTCCAACACTTTGGGAGGCCGAGGCAGGTGGATCACGAGGCCAAGAGATTGAGACCATCCTGGCCAACATGGTGAAACCTTGTCTCTACTAAAACTACAAAAATTAGCTGGGCATGGTGGTGGGCGCCTGTAATCCCAGCTACTTGGGAGGCTGAGGCAGGAGAATCGCTTAAACCCAGGACGCGGAGGTTGCAGTGAGCTGAGATTACACCACTGCACTCCAGCCTGGGTAACAGCATGAGACTCTGTCTCAAAAAAAAAAAAAAAAAAATATATATATATATATGTGTGTGTGTGTGTGTGTGTGTGTATAATAAATACAATGGGATAATAGTATGTCCCTCATAGGAGTGTGATGAGGATTAAATCAACATATATAAAGGCTGGCACATAGTGAGTACTGTATAAGTATTCACTGTTATCCTGCAGTTATTTATTGAGCTCCTTCTGTATGCATACTAACAATATAATAGACAGCAATAAAACCTATTATCTCTATCTACAGGTCTCTGTCAGTGTAGTTGGGACAGATAAACCAAGGATGACAAGATATGGTGAAGCTGGGCCTGAACTCATGGGCTCAAGTGATCCTCCCACCTTGGCCTTCCCAAGTGCTGGGTTTACAGATGTGAGCCACTGTGCCCAGGCCTGTTGGCTGTATTCCGATAGAAGGCCTGCAGAGGTGTTAAAGCAAGGACTGATACAATTAGGTGATTAAGTCTGTTTAAAAAGATTGACAAGTCAGGGGAGAAGAGCGGGACACGGAGGTGAAAGGAGACAGAGATGAAGACTAAGTCATGAGACTATCATGACTGCCTCTCATGATACTGAAATACAGTTTTGTGGGGGTGAAGAGAAGAGAAAAAGAATCCAGGGAAGAAACGTAAAGTCAGGAGGGCAGCAAACTAGGGCATCAGGGCCAGTCCCCTTTCTCAAATGGGCCCCACACTAGTGCAGCTGTGGAAGGTGCTGCTTGCTGAAAAATCCATATAGTACGCACCGTCTGCAAAGTCTCACCGGATGGGGAACCTCTCCTACTTGTACGGCCTCCTTTTGTTTATGAGCTTCAAAGGCTGAGTTACTCACCCTCAAACCCCCTCACGGGGGCGTAGGGCCTGTAATTTGGGAGCGTCTATGCTAGGGTAGGGCAGCGGATGTCCACAAGGCCTGAGCCTCACACCCGGCTCCTGCAGTCTCTGCAGATTAAGGTCTGGTGACATGAGGGAAACACGCACTGAAGATGCTCTAAAAGTTGGCAGTCCAGGGCCGATGGTCCCTGAACTACAATTCCCACAATCCATTGGCGGGGGTGTCCAAGCCAGCCAAAAAAATGCAGGCTCTCTCTGGATGCAGCTTTGAGGTGGCACTACACGTTCGCTTCCTTGACCCCATCCAAATTCAGCCAAGCTCCACCAGAACCTCCCTCAAGCCTTCAAGGAGGTCGGGTGACCCACCCAATACAGTCCAGGATGTCCGGCCTAGAAGAAGGAGGTGTGGCCGGGCGATGCCCACAGGGGCTACCCCCTTCAAATACCTTCGCATTTGCTGGGCAAGCGTTCTGCGTCATCGTCGTCCTCCTTCGGCATCCCAGCCCAAGCCCCGTGCACGGCCAAAAGGAAAACCAATATTCCCAGTCGCACAGGTCCCATGACAAAGCGCCGTCCACAAACAACCACCGCTTGCCTTCAAACCAACTTCGGAGAGGCAGTGTGGGTCCTTTAAATTCCCAGCGGCTGGCGGCAACCTTAAATCCAGCCTGGCAAGGTCGGCGCATGCGCAAGATCAGCCCAACAGGGGTGCGGCCTCGTTGCTCCGGGTTTCCCTGCCTCCGTTTTGTGGCGCCTCTTGAAGGTCCTGGCAGCCGGGTAGTGAAGAAATAAATTACACTAATTACATCAAGAGGGAGTGGTCCTTACATGTAGATGTAGAAACAAATTTTTAAAATATAATTTCATTCTGTAAGCCTAGAGGACTTATTCTGGCATGGGGAAGGGGCAGTGACTTGCTCTTCGGCTCTGCCAGGACCTGCTTCCAGGAGGGGGCGGGGCCAAGATGGCGCCGAGCGCCGGGTGAGCGGCGTCTCGGCTGCGGCTAGAGTTTTCTTGCTGCCCGTGCTCGGCTGGCCGGGGCGGGTCTGAGTGGTACCCGGGAGGAGACCCTTTGAAAGTCCCTTGTGGGGACTGGAAAGAGGACGGTTGGTTGTGTGTCTGTGCTCGTGGGGACCCCGTGTGTGTGCCTGCATAGGAGAGATGTTGCAGGAGATGGGGTGGACTCTCTGAGCCTCATTTCGCGCTGCCCGGGGATCTTCGACCTGCTTCTCTGCTGGGATCTCGCTCAAGTTAACTCTCCCCTGGGACGCCTTCCTGCCGCCTCCACTTGATCTGAGGAGATCCTGTGACTGTAGCGTGTTTTATGAGCCTTTACTGGCAGAGGGTACCGCCGGGTATTGAAGGATTCGTAGGAGTTCGCCAGGGAAGTGGGACACGACCGCCTCTTGTAAACCCGGCGCCAGGCACAGAGTATGTCTCGAATAATTGTGTTCCCTATAGATAAGACTTATAAAAGTGGGGAAGGAGATTAGGGATGGTTTGAAAAGAACTAATTTCTTTTTCGGCCTCCCTCTTCCCATCCTTCCAGCACGGCCCCACCCTACTTGTACTACTCCTGAACAGTATTGATGTTAATCTTCCTAATGTCCAGCTCCAAGTGTGCCACTTATTTTATTTATTTATTTATTTTTGAGGCAGGATTTCCGTCTGTTGCCCAGGCTGTTGTGCAGTGGCACCATCTTGGCTCACTGCAGCCTCCAACTCCTCAGTAGTTCAAGCGATCCTCCCGCCTCAGCCGCCTAAGTAGCTGGGATGACCGGTTCACCCCACCACGCCCGTCTAATTTTTTAATTTTTGCAGAAATGGGGGTCTCACATGTTGACCAGTCTGTCTCAAACTTCTGGCCTCAAACGATCCTCCCACCTCTGCCTCCCAAAGTGCTGGGATTACTGGGGTGAGCTACCTCTCTTGGCTCCAATGTGCTTTTTTTTTTTTTTTTTTTGAGACAGAGTCTCCCTCTATCGCCCAGGCTGGAGTGCAGTGGCACGATCTCGGTTCACTGCAACCTCCACCTCCTGGGTTCAAGCGATTCTCCCACCTCAGCCTCTCAAGTAGCTGGAGTAGCTGGGACTACAGGCGCCCGCCACCATGTCTGGTTAATTTTTGTGTTTTTACAAAAAGACAAGGTTTCACCATGTTGGCCAGGGTGGTCTTGAACTCCTGACCCCAGGTGATCGTCCCGCCTTGGTCTCCCAAATTACAGGCGTGAGCCACTGCACCTGGCTCCACTTTGCTTTTAACTACAGTGTAGGCTCAAAGCTTGGGCCTATGACCTATTAATAACAGTGATACCAAGTATTTACTGAGCACCAACATCTCTAAGCCTTACAACTTATTCATTTACTTCACAAATATTTATGATGTCCCAGGGCTCCTGGAATACATCAGTGAACATAATAAAGAGCTCTGTTGGCCGGGTACAGTGACTCACGCCTGTAATCCCAGCACTTTGGGAGGCCAAGGTGGGCGGATCACCTGAGGTCAGGAGTTCAAGACCCAGCCTGAGCAACATGGTGAAACCCTGTCTTTACTAAAAATACAAAAATTAGCCCAGGTGTGGTGGTGCATGCCTGTAATCCCAGCTACTCGGGAGGCTGAGACAGGAGAATTGCTTGAACCTGGAGGGCGGAGGTTGCAGCGAGCGAAAATCGCACCATTGCACTCCAGCCTGACAATAAGAGTGAAATTTCTATTTCAAAAAAAAAAAAAAAGAACAGGCCCTGTTTACATGGTGGACAGAGGACGGAGGCCTCACTCTGTTGCCGGCTGGCGAGTGCAGTGGTGCAACCTTGCTCACACGCAACTCCGCCTCCCGGGTTCAAGCGGTTCTCCTGGCCTCAGCCTCCCGAGTGTCTGGGACTACAGGCGCATGCCACCATGCCCCGGCTAATTTTTGTATTTCACTAGAGACAGGGTTTAACCATGTTGGCCAGGATGGTCTTGATCTGCTTGATCTCATGATCTGCCTACCTCGGCCTCCCAACAGTGTTAGGATTACTAGCGTGAGCCACCGCGCCAGGCTCAGAAGATGTTAAATGCAACGCGAAAAAGAAGAAGTGGGCTGCCCACTCTGAGGGCAGAGTGCAGAGTTAAATAGGGTGGTCAGTACGGCAGCCAATTAGACATTTGGGAAGAACATTCCAGCGCAGAGGAATGGAGCAAAAAGCTATTAAGCAAGTGCATGCCTGGCAAGTTTAAGGAGCAGCCAGAAGACATATGCTTCTAGATCAAAGTCGGAAGAAGGAAGGAAGAGTGATCAGAGATAATGATGGGTGGAGAAGGCAAATTTTGAAGGCTTTGTGGACATTGTAAGGATTTGTCTTTTTTTTTTTGAGAAGGAGTCCTGCTTTGTCGCCACAGGCTGAAGTGTAGTGACACATATCTTTGCTCACTTTCACCTCCCTCCCTGGGTTTGAGTGATTCTCCTGCCTCAGCCTCCTGACTAGCTGCCAATTACAAGGCTGCCCCGCCATCCCCTATTTTTTG